GCTCTCTGTTTCTGCTAAGTCACCACTTTCTGAATCAGCTCTGAAGTGCTTTAACTCTTATCAAGCATGGGATTTATGGCTACCTATAATCTTGCTAAGATTAGAAAGAACTGTTAATGAGGTATAGCCTTCTTGACACTACTGTCCAGTTCAGGTACATTATAACTCCAATTAGCCTTGGCAACACCCCAGCAACTAATAAACTGAATTATGCATATCCTACTGGAGAGCAGAGGCTAATTAGACAAATTATGGTCTATTTAGTATTGGCATTTGTCTGGGAGACCCAGACTAATTGCAGTAACCAGTCACTGTCTTTGAAATGTAATGTAGGTCCCAGCTTGACTGTTGGCAGCACTCACTTTAAATTCATACATACCCAGTGGTTTTCTGGCACATGTTTAATGCCTGGCTCTCAGGGGAAAAGCCCTAATTTGTGGTGTTTATTCAGTTTCATGGTGTAAACAGTGCTACCTTGATTGATGTCAATGTGACATTGCCAAATTCCTAAAATTTTATCAATAACTTTTTGCAAGTGGTACAAGCAGGCTCCAACATACTGCAGTCTAGATGGGTAGGTAGGGAGACTAAGTGAGCTTTATTTACAGTAATGAATAAGAAATTTTCTTAAGAACATGAGAGTTAACTGTTCATGATTGGAGAAAAATTTTGAAAGGAAGTGATGATTCTGAGAGTGGCCTGGACAGAATGTTGCCAGGCTTTCCCTTAACCTGTGTGCACCTCAATAACTAGGGCTCTCCTCCTGTAGGCTAGGCTGGCACTGTCCCCTCTGCCATAGGGAAAGGGTGTGGTGGGCAGATGTCCATGTCCTAATTCTTAAAGTCTATAGAGAGATTATACTACCTGGCAAAGGAGAATTAAGGCTGCAGGTGGAATTAATGTTGTAAATCATCTGGCTTTAAAGTAGAGAGGTTATCCTGGATTATCCAGGGGACTCAATGTAATGAGAAGAGTCCTTAAAAGTGGAAGAGAGAGGCAGAAAAGGAAGAACCAGACAAATGGCAGCATGAGAAAAATTTCGCCTAATGATCCTGGCTTTAAAGAAAGAGGGGAAGCCCATAAGCAAAAAAGTGTGTATGACCTCAAGAAGCTGGCAGAGAGGCACAGAAACAGTGTCACTAGAGCCATCCCAAAGAAACTGAGCCCTGCTGGCATCCTGATATTAGCCCAGGGAGACCCATGCTGGATTTCTAACCTACAGAATTGTAATATAATACATTTTTATTTGTCCTATTTCAAGCCTCGGTATTTGAGATAATTTGTTATGACAGCAATAGGAAACTAATACAAAATGGTATCACTGTTGACCAGTACCAAACATCCTCTGAATTTGTTAAGTCCTTGCTTAACTTTGACTTCTTATCTAGTGGGCTCCAAATCATTGGCTCTGCAGCCATAACTATAATTCTGCCTCTGGCCCTTCATTCTTAATAATTGCATTTGGTGTTGCTCGCATTTGAAACGTGGCTTTGCCAAATGGATTATGTTTTGTCTACCTCCCTGCACTATTGACCTTTTAACAGATCCCCAGACAAGTCACCCTTCATTGTCATGAGGGAGAAGGGGATTTAGCTGGGCATAGCCTTAACACTGTTCCTCTCCTTTCCATTTCCATGGCCCTCACTCTATGCCATGTTCCCAGCACTTAAATCCTGGACAATTCCTTTCTCTTTTATTTTTTTTTTTTAGAGATAGAGTCTCACTATGTTGCCCAGGCTGGAGTGCAGTGGCTATTTATAGGTGAGATCTCACTACTGATCAGTATGGGAGTTTTTACTTTCTCCGTTTCTGACCTGGAATGGTTCACCTCTTCTAGGCAACTTGGTAACTCCCTGTTCCTGGGAGGTGACCATATTGATGATGAACTTAGTGCGGACATCCAATCACCATAGCACACTGCAGCCCAGAACCCCTGGGCTCAAGCCATCCTCCCGCCTGAGCCTCCGAGTAGCTAGGACTACAGGCACATACCATTGCGCCCAGCAATCCTGGACAATTTCAATGACCATTCCTCCAACCAGTTAAGAAGTTCAACCCTCCTAAAGAGAAACAACAAGTGTCACTTGTGCCTCCTGACTTAAGTATGAACACCTTGGATTAGCATTTACAGCTTCCCATTCTTGTGCCCCAACTTCCTCACCTGAAGGTATTTCTCCAAAGTCGTCTACTGAAATTTATAATTCAATCACAATGGTACCTACAGCTGTTTTGCATCTTCCTGCTTCTTAACTCATATCCACTTACTACCCACTCCTCAACAAATATTTACTGAGGGGTTGCTGTTTTCTAATAGCTGTTCTGGGCACAGTAAAAGGCAAAACAAAGGATTGCAAGAAATGGCTATGCTATTGCAGATCTCACAACCTAATGAAAGACACTGACATAGGAACAGAAAAAGTTCAGTAAAATATGGCAACAGATGATAGCAATACAAGCCAGGTGCCTGAGAGCTCAGTGGAAGGAATGGTTTGGCTGCCTTCTTTGCAACTCAACTTAGAAGCAGCTCTGAGTTAGAGGAAAGAGCACTGATCTTGGGAGAAAATATGGATTTCAGCCAATTACTTTCTGCAGTTAATTTCCTGGTGAGTTCAATAAATTGATAAGACTCTATCCAAGAAGCAAAAATAATAGTAATAATAATAATGGGATGGATAATACTCATTGTACTGAGTTAGAATAAATAATGCTCTGTAATTGTAAAAATACTATGCACATTTGATTCCACGCTTACCTATGAAAAAGATTAGAATATGCCACCCCAAAATATGCCACTTTGGCATAAGGATTATTTTGAGCTTAAGGCAATCAAAAACAGAAAATATAGAAAAAGCTCTTTGCCATCCCCCACCTGCCTAAAAGCAGGACATAAATTTCCCCTTATAAAGGTGTTTCCCTTTCCTTTCCCAAAAAAGAAAGAGAACAATCATTATCATTAGAGAAAAAAGGAGTTACAATAAAAACTCCAGCTGAATTAAATTAAAAGGAGCTTAATTGAGCAATGAATGATCCACAAATTGGGCAGCCTCCAGAATCAGCAGATTCAGAGAGACTTCAGAGGTGTCTTGTGGTCAGAACAAATTTATAGACAAAAAAGTAGAGTGACATACAGGAATCGGAAGTGAGGTACAGAAACAGCTGGGTTTGTTACAGGTTGGCATTCACCTTATTTGAACACAGTTTGAACACTCAGCAGTGTATGAGTGATTGAAATATGGCTGCTGGGGTTGGCCAAGACTCATCTATTGTTATAGCACATACTCCTAAGTTAGGTTTTCAATCTTGTCTACCTATTAAGTTAGGTCACAGTTCATCCACAAGGACTCAAATATAGAAGTACAGGGTCTTTCTCAGGCCATATTTACTTTACTTTAACAAAAGTCAGCACCAAGATGAGTCTGTATGAATAAACCTTACTAAAGCAACCCTTACTTTCCATTAATTTCCCTTATATATTACCATCCCACAATTTACTGTCTCTTGAAGTTCAAACATATTTTCCTTTGTCTTGTCATTTTCCCATAATTTATCACCCTTTGTTAGAATGGTACATGAGTCCTTGGGTCAAACTGCTTCATTGTTCTTCCATTCTTTTCTATGAAGGCCCCTGTACACATAAAACTTAGAATATTAACATAAAAAATTTTGTATGCCTTTTCTCCTGTTAATCTGTATTTTGTCCCTTTAATTCAAAGGCCCCAGTGAAAACATGAGAGTAGAAGAAATATTTTCTTCCTCCTGTACATTTATTTAAAACGTGATTTATGACCCAAATTATATAATATTTATTCTTTCCTTCCTATACATTTTTATAGTGCCATTTTTTTGGTGCTCATCATACAGGAACTGTTTTTCCATCTAAAAGTAATGTGTGGTGAAATACAATCAAACTACAGAAAAATGCATAAAACACGAATGTACAACCTAATTACTGTAATAGGAGCAACCTGAACCCTTTCTACAGTCAAAAACATACCAGAACCTTAGGAGAACCCTATGTACAGTTTATATAAGCACTTTTCACATGCTGTTTTATCTGCCTTATTAAATTGCAAGGATTTTGAAGACTGGCATATTAGTCAATATTTTTATGTTGGAAATGATAAAACACAAATTAACCAAACTTAAACAGAAAATGAGAAATTGATTGCACACAAAATTAAATGCTGGGAAGTATGGCAGTGGAGCTGGACTTAGGATAACCTAGGATGCAAGCACTATCACTTTCTCTCTCTCACTTCCTCTTCTCTCCTTGCTTCCATCCTCTCTGCTTCTCTCTGCATGATACCGTCACTGTCACAAAGTGGATCCCCTGGAGACTCAAACCCTGTAGACCTCAGATCAGAAAAGAGATTTTCTTTACTCAGCTTGAGTCTAGAAGAAAAACATCCTGGGAAAGGTCTATTGTTTGTCTGATTTGAGGTCCATGCCCCAATCTGTTATCAGAAGGAGGATGAGGTTAGAGAGAGATACTGGCCACAGAAAACAGCAGCTATGACAGAGGCACCATTTCTTGTTCAATGCCCCAAATGATCATTACATTCTTCACAGAGGAGGCAATACTACCTTCAATATTGCAAGGGTCCCAGCGGAAACTTCAACCGGGTCTCCTCTGGTATTCAGGCATGTTTGGGTTTGTCAGAAAGACTGCTGGGTGTGGTTCTCTGTGTGCCAGAGATTAACTCCTGTGATGGGCTTAAGAGACTTCAGGGAAAAGAACATCATCCTAAGTAAATCAGAGACAAGGAGCATCTTTAGTGGAAGAACATCAAAGGACAAATGATTGTTGAGGACAGAACATCTTTCTTACTCAGATTGTCCCCTAAGCTAGCTCTCTGAGACTCAGGTCTGTGCCTAGAAAAGGTTTCTAACAGTTAGGGTCAGATAATTCATTGTTGGAGGGGCTATCCTGTACATTGTAGGATGTTTAGTGGCAACCCTGTATTTACCCTCTAGATGCCAGTAGCATTCTTCTCTTCTAGGCACGCAAAACAGTAATGGATCCAGACATTATGTCCCCTGAGGGAGAAAATCACCTTTTCTTGAGAACCAGTGGCCTAGAAGAAAGAAGCCATAAAAAGGAGGAAAAGGCGTAAATAAAAATGGAAAGAGCTACTGTCCAAGGCAGCCATGTAGTCTCACTCACAATATCTACAATGGGACATTTCTTGTGCTAGCAAGGATGCATAGGGTGAGTTAACAGAGCTCATTGGTAAAATACCTTTGAGAGAACTTGAAATAAAATGTGGGAAAGCCAGGGATGCTAGTTTTTGTTAATCAGACAGACTAAAACTGGAGAAATATTTTTGTGTTATTTTTGACAGTTCTTATGACCTATTTTTATCTTCAGGCTGATATGGCTTGGGAAACATTAGTTAAATTTGAACGAATGGATGATTTTAATGAATGAAGTTAACATTCTTTTTTCTTAATTGGCATGCTTAAATTCACACATTACTACTGTTGGGTTAGAATTTTAGAAGTGTCAGGTACATTAATCTACATTATACTATTGTAAAATAGTGATGAACTCTCTGTGAAAATTGATCCCACACAGAGAGTTCTAAGATTAGAAACTAAAATTTTGATGTATCACTAAGTGTTCAATTTAAATTCCATGATAAGTGGCCTAAACATGAAAGAAAATTTTCAAAATAGGCTACTGTGAGATATCTTTACATTCAGTAGGTTACCCATCACTTTTTAAACAAGAATTTATATCTTTAAAACTTGCATTAATTTGTTTTAAAATACTAATTCTGATTCCACTTGAAATGTGTTTTGAAGCAGTAATGGGGCAGAAGAGGATATAATAAAAGAAAATATTGAAAAGAAGTGATAAAATTCCTCAATTAAGTCTACTTTAAAAGATGGAGAAAATGAAGAGCCATTGCTCTACCTGGGCAGTATAGTATCCCTTTCCCCTATTGAGGTAGGAGAACCTCACTCTTCCTTCCCCATTTCACATACCCTGTCCTCACCACCTCTCTTCTCCCTATCTCAGAACAGTGAGAGGTTCATGACCTAAAGGGAATTTGAATCTTGGTTGGAGTGAAGTTATTTGGATTCCTGGTCCTACTAAAAGCTTGGATATTCAGGTTTTCCTTCCCAGTCCCTCAATTCTATGAGCTACCAGTATACTTCCAATTAAATATCTTCTTTGCTTTATTTCCAGTAAAGTAATTAGGTTATCAAGAATCGATTTCAGTTGCTTAAAACAGAAGCAAAAAATTGTAACTGATACAGGAAACTCTGATTAAAAAGTATTGTGAATCATCTGTCACTTTGATCAAAGAGAATGGGAAAGGGTCAGGAAAGAATATGGAATTAGAACTTAAAGGTAGATTTCTTGAGTCTATGCTGACCAAACGTTGAAAGTATGGGATCTATTCATATGTGTTTCATTTGTTGGTTTTTTAATCTACTTTTACCGGGTTTACATACAGGTGTGGTTATATAGTTGCCAATGGTGCCTGAATAATTTTAGGATTCCCATAATATTTAGACAATTTTTTTCTGACTGTGATGCTTACTATTTTCTAATAATGCAATTAAAAGTATTATAATAGCCACTTTTATAAATTGATTCTAAAAAGTAATGCTTTTAATTTACTGATGCATTTTAATATAAATATTATTCATGCTCATCATAAAAATAATAAACAGTACGGAGGGGTAGAAAATGAAAAATAAAAGAGCCACATCACCCACTTTTTCAGAGAAAATCACATTTCTTACCTAGGATATTTCCAGATGTAACTGCTACGCCTGGTGTTTTCTTGTACTTGGGCTGTTGCTCATTCAAGCAAGTAGGAATTTCACAAAACTTGCCTCAGTGGAGGGATAGCATTAGAGACCACAGGTTAAGAAAACCAATCAACCAACCAGATTTGCTTCTTGGTTTAATAAGTTTCAAAAGTCCAGTCCTCAGAGGAAAGGCAAGGTCTTATATACACAAGAACAGAAACAGTTAAGGGGAAAAAACATGATGAGGAAGAGTGAATCTTGCCAACTGGGAAGACTGGATAGGCTTCCCTGGGTTGGGATGACAGGAAGATCATGACTACTCAGTTAGGGAGCATGGTTCTTTGGGTGAGGGAAAGGGGCCTGGTCAAGGAAAATTGTTGGAGAGCAGTGTCAGCCTCACAGACAGCATCCTCTACCACTGTGCACACTGCTGGCCACCTCCAGCACCTGTTGACACCAAGTCTTCATTCAACTAAGACCAATACAACTGTCACCTGTGCTAGAGAGTGTGTTAGTTTTCCTTTCCATGGTGTCCCACCTTCCAACATCCAGAAGGAAAGAATATGAACCCTAAGAGGAGCCTATCCTGACCTTTTGGATAGCCTAGGACATATGTGAATTCCCGGGTTAGAGTGTGGCACAGAACATCGATGGTAGTGAGGTGCCATGGAAGGTCTGGGGACCTTGATGCATATGGGGCTGAACAAAGGCATCTTCAGATTCATGCATCTCCTCCTGAGCCAGTAAAATGGAAAAACACACACAGTTACACACACATCTCCCTCCTTCTCCTCCTCTACTTTTACACAAACTATATCACATTATACCTATTGATCTTCCACTTGCACTTTTCACTTAGTGATAGATCTTTGATAACAGTGTGAAAAGATATACTCTGTTTTTTAAATGGATACTTAGTATCTTCATAATTTGACTGGTCCCCAAATAATAGTTCTCTCTCTCTCTCTCTCTCTCTCTCTCTCTCTCTCTCTCTCTCTCCCCCCCCCCCCCTTCTCCCTCCCTTTTTCTCTCTCGAGTATTACCAAGCTATCATGAATATCCTTTCACATAAGTTTCTGCACTTTTGCTTGAGGTAACCCTAGGATGAATTCTTAGAATTAGAATTGCTGGACCAAAAGCATAAGCTTTTAAGAAAAAATAATGAATATAAATACTGACAAGTCATCTTCCAAAATATTTGTATTGACTGGCATTCTCATACGCTCTTCTTTACCCATATTCTCTGTACACTAGGTATTATGATCTTTTTACATCTTTGCCAATCTGATACATGAAAATTACAATTTATTTTTAAATCTGCCCTATCCAATGATGACTTGTATTTTGTTGAACCTATTTCATTGTGCAATTAGAATATTCTTTCTTATAGGTAGCAGCTATTTTCTATTCAGCACTTTAAATTTTTACAAAGCTCCCATTATGTGTCTAGTTGATTATGGTGAATTAGACTGAAAACAACAACAGCATTTGATATCAGAGAATGTAGCAGAGAAAATGTATTTTTGTTTTGGGATAATTAATACTGATCTGTTCTCTCAAATCATACAGTAATTAGAACTATGGCTCAGTGATTCCTTAATGTCACTACTGGTTTGTGATTGAAAACTATAACACTGGCATTAAGAATGACACTTTCCTCCTTACTTGCTTTAGGAGGAGGCAGCTATCAGGAGTTGAACAAAGAACTATGACATAGCTCTCTTTTCATGATGTAGTTTTAGCTAGCAATCTGATCTGTCTAGAGACAGTTTCAAATCTGCTCTCCTGGAGCTGTCAGAATACAGACTTTATAAAGACTCACAGCACTAGATGTATGCTACCCTCTTATATCTTGGCTCATGGACAGGCTGATGATAGATGAAAAAAAAAAAAAATGCTCCAAAAACTTGTGTTCCAAGATGCTTACCAAAGTATATTAAGAGGAAAGCAGAAAAAAACAAAAAAGTATTTCATACTCAGCCAAACTCTAGGATACTTGTTTAAGAAAGTGAAAAAGGTTTCTTTTGTGCAAGACCTCAGTCTTTAATATGCCAATGTGACAGGGACCTAGTTCAGTGTTTCCCCAACTCATTTGAGCTGGAACCCTATTTCCTGTAGTGAACATATGCCATCTTCCAGCCACCCAGTTCCACTCTACTTCTTAAATCTGGTGGAGCTATGAGCAGGGGTCCCACACTACCACAACTGAGGGACAGGCCAATGCTCTAGGCTAGGGCAACTGGAAGCTGCAGACTACAATTGGGAGTACAAAGAGCAATCAATTTGGGCTCGCCCATTTCAGCAATAAAAGATCCCATATCACAACATTCCTGCCCTCACATTATTATCACTGCTGTCACTACTTCTGTACACTTTGGAGTTGCTGTTACTCCTGCTAGCTTTCTATCCTGGATATCTAGACAGGCTTCCCATCAATTTAAAAAAAAATTTTTTTTTTGAGACAAGAGTTTTGCTCTGTAGCCAGGCTGGAGTGCAGTGGTGCAATCTCATCTCACTACAACCTCCACCTCCCTGGTTCAAGCAGTTTTCCTGCCTCGGCCTCCTAGGTAGCTGGAACCACAGGTGCATGCTACTACACCCGGCTAATTTTTTTTTTTTTTTTTTTTTTAGATGGAGTTTCGCTCTTGTTACTCAGGCTGGAGTGCAATGGCGCGATCTCGGCTCACTGCAACCTCCGCCTCCTGGGTTCAGGCAATTCTCGTGCCTCAGCCTCCTGAGTAGCTGGGATTACAGGCACACGCCACCATGCCCAGCTAATTTTTTGTATTTTTAGTAGAGACGGGGTTTCACCATGTTGACCAGGATGGTCTCAATCTCTTGACCTCGTGATCCACCGGCCTCAGCCTCCCAAAGTGCTGGGATTACAGGCTTGAGCCACTGCGCCTGGCCATTTTTTTGTATTTTTAGTAGAGACAGCTTTCACCACATTAGTCAGGATGGTCTCAATCTTCTGACCTTGTGATCCACCGGCCTCAGCCTCCCAAAGTGCTGGGATTACAGGCTTGAGCCACTGTGCCTGGCCATTTTTTTGTATTTTTAGTAGAGACAGGTTTCACCACATTAGTCAGGATAGTCTCAATCTTCTGACCTTGTGATCCACCTGCCTCGACCTCCCAAAGTGCTGGGATTACATGCTCGAGCCTCCTGCTCCCCGGCCGCTTCCCATCAATTCGTAAGCTCCTGATTTCCTTCTATTAAGTTCCTTCTTGCCTAAACTGGGCAGAGAGTTTTCAGTTGCAACCAAAGACTCACAGTTTTTAAAAAAGTCTTCTTCAGCTCATCTCTCATAAAGAAACATCATTAAATTAAAACAGGAACAATGTATATTTATTGACAACTAAAAGACCTGTGTAGATTATGCTGCCTAACACATTCCAGAAGCTCAAAAAAATCGCTCAACAAATAATTAGTATTCCAAAGAACAGCTTTTGGAAAGTATTATTTTAAGTCATTTTCTTAATAAGGAGAAAGACCATATGTAATGGTACCTAAGAAAGAAATAGTGCCCCATAATCGTCAGATTCACCAGGGTTGAAATGAAGAAGAAAATACTAAGGGCTGCCAGAGAGAAAGGTCGGGTCACCCATAAAAGGAAGCCCATCAGACTCACAGCAGATTTCTCGGCAGAAACTATACAAGCAAGAAGAGAGTGGGGGCCAATAGTCAACATCCTTAAAGAAAAGAACTTTCAACCAAGAATTACCTATCCAGCCAAACTGAGCTTCATAAGTGAAGGAAAAATAAAATCCTTTGCGAACAAGCAAGTACTCAGAGATGTTGTCACCACCAGGCCTGCTTTACAAGAGCTCCTGAAAGAGGCACTACACATAGAAAGGAACAACCAGTACCAGCCATTCCAAAAACACACTAAATGCTAAAGAGCATCAACAAAATGAAGAATCTTCATCAACTAATGAACAAAACAGACAGCTAGCATCAAAATGGCAGTATCAAATTCACACATAACAATATTAACCCTAAATGTAAGACTAAATGCACCAATCAAAAGACACAGACTGGCAAATTGGATAAAAAAAATCAAAACCCATCAGTGTGCTGTATCCAGGAAACCCATCTCCCATGCAAGGATATGCAAAGGCTCAAAATAAAGGGAAGGAGGAAGATTTACCAAGCAAATGGAGAGCAAAAACAAGCAGGAGTTGCAATTCTCATCTCTGATAAAATAGACTTCAAAGCAACAAAGATCAAAAGAGACAAAGAAGGTCATTACATAATGGTAAAAGGATCGATACAACAAGAAGAGCTAACGATCCTAAATATAGATGGACCCAATACAGGAGCACCCAGATATATAAGGCGAGTTCTTAATGACTTACAAAGAGTCTTAGAATCCAAACACAATATTAGTGGGAGACTTTAACACTCCACTGTCAATATTAGACAGATCAACGAGACAGAAAATTAACAATATCCAGGGCTTCAACTCAGACCTGGAACAAGCAAACCTGATAGACATTTACAGAACTCTCCACCCCAAATCCACAGAATATACATTCTTCTCAGCACCACATCAGACCCACTCTAAAATTGACCACATAATTGGAAGTAAAGCACTCCTCAGCAAATGCAAAACAACTGAAATCATAACAGTCTCTCAGACCATAGTGCAATCAAGTTAGAAATCAGAATTCAGAAACTAACCCAGAATTGCACAGCTTCATGGAAACTGAACAACTGGCTCTTGAATGTTGACTGGATAAACAATAAAATGAAGGCCGAAATAAAGAATTTCTTCAAAACCAACGAGAACAAAGACACAACATACCAGAATCTCGG